TGGCTGGCGCCTTAGCCGGTGGAGCTATAGGCGCCGAGCCAACAATTTCTTAATATCATCTAATATCTGGTCTATATTTAATTTTGATGGAAGCATTCTTGATAATACTACTTAAAAAATTTTAGGAACTAGTCAGATATCAGTTGTTCATAATAACTTTATGATCTGCTGGTAAGGTTACTTCACTGATAGTAAATAATAAAAAGAGACCTTCTTGGTTTTGAATTGTAGTTTATATTTTCCTTTTTAAATGTGGGTATTTGTTATTAACTCCAGTTACACTTTATTTATCTGTCCTGAATACTATGTAGGTTACTGTTATAGAAGATTAGTTCTTTAAAGCAGAGCCTTTACCCCCAGTTGGTAATCATTTTCTGGCTTCTGCTGCTCTTGTCTTCACCAGGTGATGTGGTATGTAATCTCTGCTGAATCTATGCACTTGTGTATGTATCATGTTGAACATCACTTATTGTTCTGGCTCTGTTAAGGAATGTTGCTCTTAGCTTATTGCAGTGGTTAGGGATATTTGTTCCACACTCAGCTGTTCAAGTTGCTGTGTTTGGGGGCTTTCTCTGTCTGCACATGTGGTACCACACCAGGCAGTATCAACAGAGCAAGAGGTGAACACAGGTCCAGGTGGAAGTAGGTCAGCTTTTCTGTTTGTCTTGAAGTCAATGCTGAGTGTGGTTTCACTGACCTAAGACGGTCTCTTTAATTTTTGATTTAGGCAGCATAGTGCAGAAATGAAGACTGTAGACTCTGGAGTCAGGCTGTTTGGTTTTGAATCTTAGCATTACAACTTCCCAAGTGGACTGGTTCTTTGTGCCCCAGCTTTTTCCTCTGTAAAATGAGGGTGATTGCTAGTTTATGTGAGGAATGAAAGCCTCGCGTATTTCTCTGCCTTCCATGCGTGATTGTTGTGAGATTTAAATGAGCTAGTGTAAAGTGCTCAGAGCATTCTCTGACATAGAGCTTTGTGTTTTCTCTAATTTTTAACCTCTTCAAAAATATATTCCTGAAGTATCTTGGTGTAACCAAGGTAAACTTTGGCACCTAAGGCCCAATTTACTTATTAGAATACTTTGGATTTAAATCTGTGTTGTCATTCTTTAGGGTATGCCTTGACAAGATGTAAATCCATGTGTTTGTTAAGCATCATATGTTCATAGCATAACATTATATGATACTAAATAGACCGTGTCTTAAAAGTTCTGTGTTCTTTGTCTTTTCAGGTGTGCTTCTACTAAATCAAATTTGAGTTTGTTTTTAAACATTCACATGAGGGCAGTGCCTGTGGCTCAAAGGAGTAGGGCGCCAGTCCCATATGCCGGAGGTGGCGGGTTCAAACCCAGCCCCCCGCCAAAAACTGCAAAAAAATAAATAAATAAATAAATAAACAAACATTCACATGAGCCATCTATCTTCTTACTTAGTGGGTGCTTTGCTATATGTGAGGGTTTGTGAAATAATGTTTGGGAAGACTGATCTAATCCCTATCCAACTATTAGATTCTGATTCTGTGAATGGTTCTTGTGTCATCTTCAGTTAAGAGGATAAAGTTCATTGGATGTATATGTCAATATTGAAAATTTGTCTCATAAATCTACCACTTCATATTTTCCTCTTTCCCACATCTGTGCTTAGATTGTTTTATTCCACTCTCCTACTCTCCCCACTTTGCCTTTTTCCAGGATGACTATCGGGTTTGTATGGAGTTCAACATTATCCAGAAAGACTCATTACCTGTTTGCCCTGTGGATGCTTCAGGTTGCTTCACAGAAGAAGTGACACATTTTGCAGGACAGTATGTGAAGGTTTGTAATTCATATGATGTAGAAGGGTTTCAGTCTCCTATTTTTTTCATCAGTTTTTCTTAAGAGAATTCATACAATTTCTAATTGAACTCCTTTATTTATAATTGTAGTACAGTTCTTTTAGGAAGTTGTTTTTATTTTTTTTTAGCATATAAAATCAGCAAAATTAGGTAGTATCAGTCATATTCAGAGGATCTAGTACAACAGTTCTCAACCTGTGGGTCGTGACCCACAGGAACTGTATTAAAGGGTCGGGGCATTAGGAAGGTTGAGAACCACTGATCTAGTATATTTTCAGGGGTAGGAATCAGAAAAACTAAGATCCAGTTTATATTTTATGAATCAACTTTGTGACCTTATGGTAATCATTTCTAATTAAAAACTTCACTGCCTTAAATGTCACAGAATGTACCTGAAAGGTATTGAAAGTTATACAGTGTCTAAAATATGGGCAATATTTTAAAATGTTTTGAGACAGAGTCTCACTATGTCATCCTCAGTAGAGTGCTGTGGCATCACAGCTCACAGCAACCTCAGACTCTTGGCTTAAGTAAGTCTCTTGCCTCAGCCTCCCAAGTAGCTTGGACTACAGGCACCCACCACAATGCCCGGCTATTTTTTTGTTGTAGTTGTTGTTTAGCTGGCCCTGGCCAGGTTGGAGCCCACCAGCCTGAGTATATGTAGTAAAATTATATTGTTACTTAGTATTACAGCATGTTCTGATAGCTAACTTTTAATTTTTTTGAAAAGGATGCTGACAAACATATCATAAGGACCTTAAAGGAACAAGGGCGACTTCTTGCTGCCAGCACCTTCACTCACAGCTACCCTTTCTGCTGGAGGTGAGAAGAAATAAAAACGATGTTGGAGCAGAGCTTCCATTTTCTGGATACATTTACTGTGTGTGCCCATTCCGTCATATTTATGGTTTTCAACTCACTTATATCCTTTAGAGTTAGTGTTTGCAAATTGGCTTTTTATGTCATATTTAGGAAAGTCTTATGGATGCATAATGTTGTCTCTTTCCTCAGGAGTATGACTAAAATAGACATTACAAATCTATTTTGTGTTGTACTCATTTTTCATAGGATGACAAACCCCTGTAAAATCTTGTAATGGAATTTATTGAGAAATGTAATGGGATATCAAGTTTTACTGTAAGATCATGCTGTAAAGATGTGGGTGAAAATGGAATCATAATAGTTTCTACGTTTCTTTCTCTCTGCTAAAGTTGGTATCATTTCCCAGACAGTTGTCATCAGCAGAACTATATTTTTCTTTATAGTCTTGTTCTTCTATTGCTTTTGCCTTGCTTGATATCATGGAGGGAGATGATTGATTTTAAAAACTTAAAGACCTTTGTATCTATAATAAAAATGAATATTAGTAGAAGGCCAAGTAGGTGGGGTGCTGCCAATAAGAGATTAAAAGTCATTTTTACTCTGGTGATTGCGTGTCTCAGCCTGATCAGGTTCATCTGAGTTTTTGCTTCCTTAGGTCAGACACTCCCCTCATTTACAAAGCAGTACCCAGCTGGTTTGTGCGAGTGGAGCTCATGGTGGAACAGCTGCTAAGGAACAATGACCTGTGCTACTGGTGAGCAGTAAGCTGTGTTTCTCCCCTACCTATCTTTGTTACATACTTAGTATGGTTTATATCGCCCAAATTACAATAATTTTAATAGCCATCTTTTATTGTATATTGTAAAAGCTGTATTTTATTCTTTGTGCTAAGGAATATAAAATAATTTTAATAATGTTACATAATATGCTGAGCTCTGTGGTCCAGCCCTATAATCCCAGCACTTTAGGAGGCTAAGGCAGAAGGGTCACTTGAGGCCAGGAGTTCGAGACTAGCCTGGGCAACATAGCAAGAACCCAT